TGTTATGCGATAATTTTAGAAATTATTTGAAGTTTGAAAACCAAAGAAGAATTAAAATACCAATGAAAACAACTGTAAAGCAATACGAGCGATCTCAGCGACAATTCCACTTGAGGAGGTAGGCAAAATTTAATTGTATAAAAGACTACGTTGAGAAAACATTTTCCAAGCAAAGTTACCTAAGTAGATTCTAAATTAAAATGATAGTCACCTGGAAATGATTTCACGACCAGGTTGGGGATTTATTGTGTCATATGTATCATCACTAATGGCTGTTGCTTGGGACCAAACATTTGCTTCTTCTGTCTCATCAAGACTAAACGGCTGCGTAACATAAACTTCGACGTCTCCAATAGAAAGTTTCACTAGGTACGAATACTTCTTATACGCTGCTATAAGAAAAAGTTGATTGAATCATAAAGGTAATGAAAAAAACTTAGCAGAAAATAAATTTGATAGTTAACTAAGACCAGAAAATAAAATGCAAACATTTTTTAGTAGGAGGATGTTCCCAATAAATCCCTCTCAACTCCATGCGCAGTGGGATATAATTTAAGTGATTACACCGCATTTGCGAAAAATAATAAACGTATCTCCTTTGCGAAGGAATAGTAACACCCTAAGAAAATAAGCTCAAATCAACTAAGGAACTAACCAGAACAATGTTTTTATGATGATAATAATATTGAAAGACTATTTAGGTGGCCTCAAATTCAGATTACAAAAAAATGTTAACGACTCAATGCTCCACAAATAAAAAGGGATAGGTACGGCAACAAACTTTACTTTATTATTGACAGTGCGGATGATGCCGTAATAATCTAACACTTGGCGTGGTGAGTAGAAAAAATTAATATAAATGAGATATGCACATATCATTACTCCAGTACGACCCTTTCCAGCCTTGCAGTGAAAAACAATAACGTTCTTTAAGTCTTCAAGTAGATAGTCATGAGCCTATAAAAAGAAACGTTATAAAAAAGCACTTTCCCATCAACAAAGTTAAAAAGTGGAAGTTTACCCGTCTGCATATTCTTGACATCTGCTCCAATCGAGGTGGATGATGATCATTCATTTCGAAATAGAGTACCCGATTATCAAAATTTCTAGT